GGCGGCGGCGGGGGAGGGTCCGGCGCGTCCCCCCGCGCGCCCACTCCGGGAGGCCGGAGCGTCCATGTGCTTAACGGGAAGCAGGAAGGAGCGGCTCGGCCCCCCGCCGGCTCCCATACCGTTATGGGGTGTGTGACGAGTGGGTGGGGGAGCTGCTGGTGAAACTGGTTTTCTGGGCCACACTTGCTAATTGCCCGGAGGCCGCAGGCAAGCAGGTTCGCTGCAGGTGTGTGGCTCCCACCTTCCTCCCCACTTGGGGGTTCCTCTCCCCGGCCAGGCTCCTGGGTGGCATCACAAGCGGGTGTCAGCGCCCTGAGTTGCCAGGCCCAGGAGTCAGGCTTCTGAGGAGCCCCGGGCATGGGCTGGGCCCCCCTCCCCAGAGCTAAGCAAGGCCTCGGGGGGGCATCGCTGGAGGGTCCGTCCCCACCGGGGCGTGGTGACAGCGCCTTAAGGTGGGTACCTGCCTGCCCTGGTGATGGGCGCCCGAGGGTGCGGCCTCCGTACCCCGCCCCCCCTTCTGGCCCTAATCTGCAATGACCAGCACAGACTGTACTGAGGGAACAGAGGGACCCCACAGTGCACATCCCTCCCCCAGGCCTCTGGCTAGTGTCCCCCCGGGAAGGGCCTCCTGTCCTCTGCCACTGTCCACAGCTGATTCTGAGCCCCCATCCGCCTCTTCAGCCTGCTGGCCTCTCCTGCCCCGAAGGGGTGTCGGGGCCTTTGGTGGGGTGGCCCCAACCAGCTAGAGCTGGTTTTGGGGTCTGTGCTTTGTGGTGACACCTCTTGGCACCCCATGCCCTCAGCCTTGTTGGGGCTCCTGACCCGCTGCTGTTGCTGCCGAAAACAGCCTTTACCCCAGGGGTGCCTCAGGCCTCCTGTGGCCTCTGCCCCTCAGTGGGAGCCAGGCTCGGGGCGGTTGTCACTCTGGCTGGGGCTGCCTCGGGCTCTCAGGCTTCATACTGAGACCCTTCCTGGGGGGCGGGCTTGAGTCCATCCGGGAAGGGGCTGGGCAGCCCTGCCCGCCTGCCTGGTCACCCCGTGCCCCCCACCCCCAGTGGTGTCTGAGTGGGCTAGGTGCGAGACACCCCCGTGGGCCTCCTGTGGGTGCGGAGTCCCGCTGAGTGGGAACTTGCTCAGGGGTGATGCTCTCCACCCTGAGCATGGCACCCCAAGAGCAGGGTGTGTCCCTGACCTGAGTTGTGGGTCCCTTCTTCTGGCCCCAGCATTTTGTTTCCAGGGCCCCTTCTGTGCTGGTGCCAACATGTCACCAGGGCTGCCACTGCAGCAAAGTGGTCCCTGGGGGTGTGAGGGAGTCCCGTACCGGCCTTCTGGGCTGGAGGCAGGGGCTCCCCTGTCCACGGAGGGACGGGGCAGCAAGGCCGTGGGCAGAGGCCTGCTGTCAGAGCGCCTCAGGGCTGTGCCCCGGGGTCTGCGGGTCCCTACCCACCCTGGAGACCTCTCACACCTGTCCTGACCCCTGGGAGTCTGGGGGCTCTGGGGGGCCTGGCTGAGGTAACCCTGGCCCCGGCTAGCTCTGCCTGCCCTGCAGGTTAGACTGATGGAACATTCCTGGCCTCAGGAGTGGGGGAGAGGCTTGCCTGCACCCTCCCGCAGCCCCCCAGAATCTTTAATCTGCCAAAATGTCCCTGGTTAATTTCCCTGCCCGTTTCCCCCACCTGGCTGGGGTGCCTCGGTCCAGCCCCGCCTGCACCCTAAGTGAGCCCCGGAGGCCAGGCCTGCAGGCGGCAGTCAGGTGACGCAGGCGTCCCCACCTCCTGCAGGCCAGCCCAAGGGGGAGGCAGGGCCAGAGGCGCTGGGCAGGGGCAGTGGCCTGTCCCCAACCCTCTCCATGCTCTTCTGACTTTTCTCTTGGGGAAAAGAATGCGTGTGCCTGGCTGCGTGGGGCGAGTTCCACTGTGGCTAATTATGTTTAATTTTGTTCCGTTCAAAAGCTTCCATCTCTCTAATTAAATATTTATTCTGGCGAAGGTAGCGGGGGAAGGGGCAGAGCCCTGGAGGAGCCCGGAATGCGCGCGCCTGTGTGAGCCGACTGGGCAGAGGCCGGCTCCTCCTGTCACGCTGACCTCTGACTCCACACGAGGCGCAGGGACCGGGAATGGGGCCGGGAGGGCAAAGTCCCTGGCTGGATACTGACCTGTGACCGGAGGCCGCGGGTGTCACAAGCCGTGGGGGAGCTGGCAGCCGGCGGCCCCCGGCCACCCCCGCTCCCTGAGGGGAGCCCCCTTCCCGGGCTCCCAGTCTCCAGGTCAGCCTGGTGGTCCTGAGCTGGGGCCCCTGGGGGAGGGGGCGGGGTGAGGAGGGCCCTGGGGCTACGGGGGTGGCCTGCTCCCCCCCCCCCCCCCCCCCCCCCCCCCCCCCAGGTCTCCATTCTGCCCCAGGTTTCGAGGCTGCAGTCCTGCCTCACACCCGAAAGGGGGCACTGGCCTGGGGCTGGGGGTGCTGTGCGGTGGGCCTTGTCCCCCACTGCCCTGGGACTCGCCTCACCCGGGGATACAGGGCCTTTCACCCCCACTCTTCCCCTTCCCCTTCCCCAAGGACCTGCTGCCTGGAGGTGCAGGGAGGCCAGGCTCCTGCCCATTCCTGAGTCTGCGTGCTGAGGGGCTGAGGAGGGTCCTGACTGAGGGACAGCGACGGGAGCCCCTGGGTCCCGTCTAGGTCGTCCAGACTCGAGGGGTGGCAGCTGCTCCTTGGGGTCCTGTGAGGGGCGGGGGCTAGAACTGGACAGCCACCGCGCCTCGGGGCTGTCGGCCAGGTCACGTGGCCGCGCCCCCCCCAGCTGGCCTCGCCGCCCCCGGGGGGCTGCCTGGCTGCCCCTGAGGCCTCTGCCTTGCTCACGCAGGATGCTCCAGACCCTGTACGACTGCTTCTGGTGGGAGCGGCTGTGGCTGCCCGTGAACTTGACCTGGGCTGATCTCGAAGACCGAGATGGACGTGTCTACGCCAAAGCCTCAGACCTTTACGTCACGTTGCCCCTGGCCGTGCTCTTCCTCGTCGTGCGTTACGTCTTCGAGCTGTGAGCACCGGCCTCCCCGGGCAGTTGTTGCTTCACCTCTGCCCCGCGGTCCTGCCGGGCTGGTCCTGCCCACTGTCCCTCACTGAAGGCGGCATTGTCTTCCTGAGGGCTCGGCACCCCGGGCCCTGACCGTCAATGGTCACTTGTTCTCTCCCTCACCCGCTGGCCGCCGCGAACACAGGCAGCTTTGTGTGCCACGGCCGCCCGAGACGGGGGCCGCTGAGAAACTGAGGCCAGGCCCAGGCCGCCGGAACATGCAGTCTCTGCCCTCCCCGCCGAGGGCTCCCAAGAGGCCGAGGGGCGCCCGGGGTGCAGCCGCCTCACGCCCTCCCTCCCCAGGTACGTGGCCACCCCGCTCGCCGCCCTCCTGAACGTCAAGGAGAAGACTCGGCTGCGGGCACCCCCCAACCCCACCCTGGAGCACTTCTACCTGAGCAGCGGCAAGCACCCCAAACAGGTGAGCTGCAGGCTGCTCGGCGGGGCCCCGGGTTCTGCGGGGGGCGGGCCGGGGCGCGGCTCTGGGGTGCACGGGCGGACTCGGCGCTCCCCCCAGGTGGAGGTGGAGCTCCTGTCCCGGCAGAGCGGGCTCTCCGGCCGCCAGGTCGAGCGCTGGTTCCGCCGCCGCCGCAACCAGGACCGGCCCAGTCTCCTCAAGAAGTTCCGGGAAGCCAGGTGGGGGCGGGGCGCGGCCGCAGCCCTTGGGCCCTTCCCGCCGCCAGGGGGCGCGGGGGGTGGGGGCCGGCGCTCGCCCGCCCCTCCAGCCGGACCCCGCTTCCTTTTCCAGCTGGAGATTCACCTTCTACCTGGTGGCCTTCGTCGCCGGCATGGCCGTCATCGTGGACGTGAGTGGGCCTTGGGCGGGGGTCCTGGCAGGCGGGTGACAGAACTCGGGCCCCGCCCCTCCTGACCACTCGCCATCTCTGCAGAAACCCTGGTTCTATGACTTGAAGAAAGTCTGGGAGGGGTACCCCATACAGGTGAGCGGGGCCCTGGCTCCCCCTGGGGTTGCGGACCCGCGGCACACTCGGGGGCTGGAGCCCGGCCCAGCCCAGCCCGGCCGCGGCGAGCAGGCCACCTGCCCCGGTGGCCCTGACCTTCCTGTCCCCTCCCCAGAGCACCGTCCCTTCCCAGTACTGGTACTACATGATCGAACTTTCCTTCTACTGGTCCCTCCTCTTCAGCATCGCCTCGGACGTCAAGCGGAAGGTAGGTGACCTGGGAGGCCCCGCCGAGCCCGGGAGCCCGCCGATGACCAGCCTGCACCTTGATTTCTGGTGCTTTGGCTGGAGATGGGGGGCACGGGGGACTGAGGTGGCGGGGGGAGGGCGGAGCGGGGTGGCCGGGGCCGGGCAGTGCGGCCCCTGGAGCCAGGCTTCCCACAGGACTTCAAGGAACAGATCATCCACCACGTGGCCACCATCATCCTCATCAGCTTCTCCTGGTTCGCCAACTACATCCGCGCGGGCACGCTCATCATGGCCCTGCACGACTCCTCCGACTACCTGCTCGAGGTTGGCTCGGCAGTGCAGCCCTGGGGGGGGTGCGGGCGGAGGCCAGGCGTGCGGGCGGTGACGGAGGGCGTCTCCGCAGTCCGCCAAGATGTTTAACTACGCGGGCTGGAAAAACACCTGCAACAACATCTTCATCGTCTTCGCCGTCGTCTTCATCATCACCCGACTGGTCATCCTGCCTTTCTGGTGAGTGAGGCGGCCGGTCCTGCGGTCCTGCGGCCCGACTCGCCTGCCGGCCTGTCCCCCTCACCCTCCCCGTGGGCGTGTCCTGCCCCGCCCCCAGGATCCTGCACTGCACCGTGGTGTACCCCCTGGACCTGTACCCCGCCTTCTTCGGCTACTACTTCTTCAACTCCATGCTGGGGGTGCTGCAGCTGCTGCACATCTTCTGGGCCTGCCTCATCCTGCGCATGGCCCACAAGTTCGTAACTGGAAAGGTGAGGGTCAGCCCGCGGCCTCGCCTCTGGGGGCCCCGCGGAGGACGCCCTGGGGCGCGCGCTGCCACCCTCCTCTCCCCACAGCTGGTGGAAGATGAGCGCAGCGACCGGGAAGAAACAGAGAGCTCGGAGGGGGAGGAGGCCGCGGCCGGGGCGGGAGCCAAGGGCCGGCCCCTGGTCAACGGCCACCCAGTCCTCAACCACCACCATCGCAAGAAGGACTGAACCGCTGTCCCTGCTGCCCCAGACGCCGCCTAAGGCCAAGAATGACCCCTCGCCCTTGGGGCCACACTAATTTCTGGGGAGAGGAGGAAGCAGAAAGTGAGGGGCGCCCGTGTGCCCCACCCTGCTGCTTTGTCACCCAGTTGCCTTTAAGCCAAATCTGACCGGCCTGTGCCCAGGCGGAGGGGCTGGTCACCGCCTGTCAGAGGGGATGGCCTCACCTTCCTCAGCTCTGGGGGGGCCACGACTCACATTCCTCACGCTCCACAACGCGGCCGGGGCTGGCCGGGACGCCTGGCCGCCAGAGCCGCCCGTGCCTTACCGTGCCACCCGCGGGCGCACCCTGCCAAAGGACCACGGCTCGCCTTCCTGAGCCGGGCGCGGGCCAGAACCAAAGCTGAGCTCACTTTAACTTTTTCTTCCTAAAACACAGATGACCCAAGCGTAGGGGGGTGCACGTGAACTCTACCCTACCTCTGCCAAAAAGTGGGGGCCATACGGGGCTCAGCCCCTACCTTTGCGGTCCTTCTCTGCCGGCCTCCCCATAACTACGGCCAGTGTCTCACTGCCCCTCCCCTGCCTGGCCTGTCCCTCCGGCTAGCCTGCCTGGAGGAGGACGCACCTAGCTCTAATTTTTATTTATTAAACACTTGGGGTTTGGGGTGTAAAGCCAGGACTACGGCTGGCACCTGACATTTCAGCAGAGGGACCACTGCAGACCAAAATGTACTGTTGGTGTTTTTTCTTTTTTTAATTAAAATATATTAAAGAGAAGTAAAACATGGCAACAAGTGTCTGAGACTACTAGAGTTGAGGGGTCGACTAAATAAACTAAGATCATCTCCTCATGCCATTTTCAGTTCTGTAACGTTGTTTTTAATTTCATATGGCAAAGAGAGAAAGCGGAGAAGGTATGAGATCACGGTAGCTGCCCGCTGGAGGAGGGGTGCTCCTCTTACTGGAAGACGGAATTGGGAGTAAGGGCTGAGGGCGAGAGACGGAACCACAATCTCAGTTTGAACAAGATGTTAAAAGACTTCCAGGGAACAACACAAACCCGCGACGGTTCCAGGAATAAAACCCGTCGGGGGCGCGACACTCGACAGGCGAGGCTGGGCGCCGGGGCGCCGGGCGGTGGAGGAGGGCCCAGCCTGCTAGCACCACGGCGGAGGGGTCTCCTGGCGCAGGGCCCCCCGTTAGGAGGGGGGTGGCGAGACTGGAGACTCGGGGTCAGAGTTCACCTGCCAGGAAGACCCCGTTCCTGAGGAGAGGACGGCGGCGGCAGCGGCTCGGCCTAGAGCAGTCGCCCGCGGCACTCGATGGCGCCGCAGCAGCACAGCAGCTCCTTGCCCTCCACGCTGCCCACCTCGTAGTTGTAGTCCCACGTGAGCTCCGTGCCGGCCCGGATCCTCCTGGGGGAAGAGGGTCGTGGCGAGGCTGGCAGCGCCCAGGCTCCCGGGGCCCAGCACACGCCGGTGGGGCCGGCCACAGAGGGGCCCCCCCCGCTGCCGCTGCTACCCAGCCGCGCCCGCGCCCGACGCCCTCTTACTTGCTGGCGAAGAAGGCCACCCAGGGGAAGCGAAGGTCGTGGGTGTCCACGAAGACATTCTGGACGAACAGGTTGGGGCTGCAACTGTGCTGCAGGTGGAAGGCCAAGACTGGGTGAGGAGCAGGGAAACAGAATCCGGCTTTGCGGGGTGAGGGCGGGGAGGAAAACAAGGCCATTCGATCCTCCCCGCGCAGGCAGGCCTGAGAAGGCCACCTCTGGGCCCCCGTGGGACCGAAGGAACAGAAAGGCAGCAGGCCCTGGGGAGGACGGGCACCCCCCGAGGAGGGAGAGGGCTCTCACGTTGAGGTAGCGGCCCAGGTTGCCTTCGAGCTTGGCGTCGATGATGTAGCAAGACTCCTCGCCGTCATAGAACTGGCGCGTGTTCTTCCGCACGGGCGCGCTCTCCCCCTTTTCCACGGACGCCATGTTGGTAGACTTGATGGCGATTCCGTGGGTGGACTTGAGCGCAAAGCCGCGGGTTGATTTCACCGCCACCTGGCGCTTTGTTGGACCTGGGCAGAAGGGAGGAACGGGTCAGGGCCTGTCCCCCCCTGGACTCTGCCCCCAGCTTTCATCCCAGCAGGGTAGCGAGGGGCCCCGGCCAGCTGGGATTCGGTCGGATTCCCTGGGTTGCTGCTTTTTCAAACGGGAGTAGTTTGGGCTCAGAGGAAGGACTGAGAGCAAAAGAAAGGGATCTGGGAAGAGAGGACGGCCAGTCGGCGCATCCGGGAGATGCTCTGGTTCTGGGGCCAGGTTTCCCCCCTTCTCGAGCTTCCTCTTCCCCAACTTTCCTCCCGCTCCTTCCTAGTACCCATGAAGGCCTTCCAGACTACCAGACATGTTCTTCTTGTCCTCAGAATCATCCCCTTCCGAGCCCGAGGAGATGGTCTGGATGTCATCGCTGTCGGCCGCGGCGGCTGAGGTCTGACCGGCAGCGGGCTTGCGGCTGGCCCCGCTCTCCCCCTCGCTCTCTGTGCTGCTGGACAGTGTCAGGACGTCCTGGGGAGGCAGAAGGCCAGGGGAAGTGTGTAAGCGGAGAGGGCCTTCGTGTCCCTCTCACCCGTCGGGCGGGAAGGGGCCGAGACTGCAGCAGCAGATGAGGCGTGGCTGCAGGCAGGTGGGGCAGGCGAGACCACGCAGCAAGACGTATAGCGACAGATGGGCGAGGCGCAACCTTCTCACTCAGACTCGCATGAACAGAAAGCCGGCGAGCGGCTCGGGGTGGCCACGTACGTCAGGGCTGGCGTGAGCGGAGGCCAGCAGTCTTCGGCTCTGGTGCATGCTGGTCTTACTGGGTGGGCGGCGGAGTCCTTCAGCCTTCGCCGGGGAAGGATTGTAACCATAATTGCGGGAGCTTTCAGGAACTCTGAGGGAGGAAGGGTGGGGGGGTCAGGAGATGGTTTCTCAGGCTCCTTCTGAAGGCCTGTGGGGAGGCGGACTTAGGCAAACGGCAGACACTTACAGTGACAGCTTGCTTCGGTCATCTGGGTCCTGGAAAAAAAGCGAAGATTAAATGTCTCCAGAGCCCTGGGTGACACATGGGCAGCTTTCATCGCCAGTGACCACCAAGGACACGAGTCGGCGAGAGGTGCCTGGGTGGGTTGAGGAGTTACTCTACACCCTGAAGCAACAACACTCATCAGCAGACCCCGAAGGGGCTGGTGCTGCTGTGAGGACGCGGCTGCCGAGTTCGTGGACAGCCACGGGCAGAACCTCACAGGACAAGGAGCGCTAATGAGGTCATTTCAACACTTTTAAAACTATTTTTTAAGTCAATGCCTGGTTTCTCTCACCAAATGATGTAGAAAACACAAAGCAATCCTCAATTTAACAAAAGTCACCCAAAACCTCTCACGGCTGGAGTACCTGACAGACCTCCCCCCACAAGCAGGCTCTCCCAGCAATGTGGTTCTCTACACACGGGGGTGGGGGTGGGACGTGACGCCTGCCACCGCCGCGCTTCACAGAAGCCACTGCTCACCTCCTTCTTGGCTGGCCTGACGTCAGCCTCGTCCTTGACGCCCAGGCCCGAGGCCGGAGCCTTGTCGGCCTCCCCGCGGCTGCCCCCGGCGCGGCCCTCCCCGCCCTCGCTGGTCTTGAAGGAAGAGCGGCTGTCGGAGTCGGCGAAGGCCCCCTCGCTGACCCTGTTGCAGCTCAGCCACGAGGCCACCTTGTTCTTGGGCGTCTCTTCGGAGGAAGGCGGGTTGCAGCCGCCTCCAGGGGCTGACGGCGGGACGGGCGTGTGCGGGGGCCCGAGGTCCGGGGCGCGGGAGTCCTTGGCGGCCGGCTCCGCCAGCCCGTTCTCCTTCTGGCCCCGCGTCTGCCGCCGGGTGGCGTAGCTGCGCCACACCGAGCTGGTGCTGAAGTCCTCGTCCTTGCAGAAGTTGTCGTCGGAGCTGTCCTCGTTGGACTCCTCGGGGTCCTCCGTGCCGCTGTTGCCGTCTTCCTGGTCCTTCAGGTCTACGCCGCTACTGTCAGAGGAACAGGGGGCGTCGCTCTCGTAGCCTTCCTTGAAGTTCTCCACGCTCTCGATGTGGTCCAGGTTGGCGAAGTACTCGTCGCCCATCTCCAGGCCTTCCTTGTCTGCGAAGTCGTCTGTCAGGATTTTGCCTGGGAATGGAAATTAAATGCCTTCCAGAGCTATGAAGAGTTTTTTGGAGAGTAAGGGTCATTTTCTCAACACCCACCGGCCAGCGGAGCTGAAACGCCTCCATTACGTGCGCCCTGGGCTACTCAGCTCCTCCTCAGTGCCCTGAAGTGCTGAACCCTGGCCCTTCTCTCCTTTTACTGTTTCCCAGGAGAACTGTCAGCCACGCAAGACCCCTCTGCCCTGACACGGGAGAAAAGGGCCCGGGGGCACCGCGCTGTCCTCTCCCCTCTGGAGCATCGCACGCCCAGCCGCACCCCGCCCCTCCTTCCTGCCCCTGTGAGGCACTGCGGCCCGGACCTCCCTCACCCCGTTATTTACAGGGCGTGCCGGCTGCCCGCCTCGAGGTCAGGCGGCAAGCACCGCAGTCCCTGGTCAGCGGCCCCTCGTGGGAGCGGGCGCGGCCCTCCTGTCATCACTGACCTGCGTAGATACAGACGAAGGAGCCCTTGGCAATGTCGTCCAGGCAGCGGATGCCCCAGCCCTTGTTCTGAGTCTTGAAGAGCTGGAGCCGGACCTGCAGCCCGTGCTGCACCAGTCGGTTGGTGCACATGCTGGGGTCACACTTGCAGCGCTTGTTACACTCGTACACGCTGGAGGGTCAGAGCACAGTTAGTCACGGCCGCACGTGTCCACTCAGCGCACAGAACAGCAGCGACTCCCGGGTACCGCCCGTGGGGGAGCGAGCTACGTGTGAAGATTCACTCACCTGTCTTATGCTTTGATTTGTTGGGGAATCAAACTGCCCAAGGAAGTAACTCAGAGGCGGAAGAGTAATTTATAGAGGTGTCTACCCTACCGTTACTGACAGTAAATACTGGAACACCTAACACCTAGAGAGAAGCCAAGCAAGCTAAGAGGGAAACAGGCTAGAGTCACTAACGCAGGCACACAGGCCAGCTAAGCTGAGGAAACAGGCGCAAATGTGAAAACGCTGCGAGAAAAGCTGGAGCCCATATGCCCAAAGGGAGCAGAGACCGAGGGAAAGGGCGCTGAAGCTCATGGTATTCTTTCCGGGTAAAACCGGCCTTCACTCTTCTCTTTGGAGGCTACAGAAACAAAGGTTCTTGCAGAAATGGAAACTAGATGGCCAGTCTCCACTGGCAGCAATGAGGGGCAGAGGCGGGCAGCGTGGTGTCCTGGCTCACGTGGGGCCACCAGGAGAACCAACTGACAAGTGGCTGATGTTGCTCAAGGGGTGTGCAAAGAACAGGGGTCCCTGAAGACCCACCTACCCCTTCTAGAATGTTCGATGAGGTGCCTTTCCAGACTCTGAGCAGGCGCTCAGGCGTTGAGGATTCTGTGCTGTGGCTGCCTCAAGCGTCTCCTCCTGAAGGGACACTGAAAGCCCAGGCGGGCAGGGCAGCTGCTGGAAGAAGCCCCAGGACGCGTGGCAGGGCTCGCGCTCGGGGTCTAGTCCCTGGGAGTGCTCAGATTCGGTGTTTTCACACAAATACGCAGACACAAACACCCGAGGGGCTTGGGGGAAAAGGTGGAGGAGATATGGCAAGGTGCCAGCCCCGGAGAGGCCTGCTCCGACAGCCTGAACTCCCTGACCCCTTGGGCTTCTTGGTTCTCGTTGGTCTTCTCTCCTGGGTCTTCTTGTTTCTCATCTTCTGTTCTGACTCCCTAGGCTTTTTTCTGAAGTTGGAATGGCTTGTGGCTGTGCTTGCCCGCTCACCAGTCAGGAAACTCCTCACAGGCCACGTGGGTCAGAGGAAATAGCCTGAGACGCGTTCCGGGGCCCCTGCGCCCTCTGGGTGACCCCTCAGCAGTCGCTGCATCGGGACGCAGCAGCGTGGGGCGGTCTCGGGCTCGCAGTCAGTGCATGGCTTCTCCAGGTACTCGTTAGTGCCCTGGCTAGTAGCACTGGGGGGACCGATGAGACGGAAACCAGGTGCAAGCACTCACAACAGCGTGCGTTAGCTCCCCGGGGCCGTGTCCCGGGCCATGGCTGTTCCCACGCCCAGCGCCCAGAGATAATACAGATGGTGCCGCCGCCTCCCAGCACCAGCCCGGGCAGGCTGGGCTCTTCACCAGCCCCACACTGGCATGCTCTTCAACCTCAGACTGAAGCAAGCTAGCCGGCCCCAGGGAGGCGTCAGCCATGGTGCACGTGAGGACATCAGGCTGGAGGGCTGTCATCCCGTGGACACCACTGCCTTGGAAAAGGCCACTCATGAATGTGACAGTCAACAGCACAACGCAGACCTTCAGCCACCCCAGCAGCCCGCAGGCCCCCAGGTTCCTGGGGTGTACTCGCAGGAGGGGACGTGGCCATGGCCCAGCCTGGGGCCGAGGAGGCCTCCCCCGGCTGCCGCCGCGGTAACGGCACATCAAGACACAGTGTCCTCTGGGGACACTGAGCAGTTCCAGGCTGGCCAGGACGCTATCAGCGATGTGAAGAAGCCAAAAGCCTTGGACGTGTGGCACGGGAGGCCCGTGCCAGTGGCGGCCATGTCTGCCTGCTGCTTGGTAAGTTCCCCGTGCTTACCTCAGAGCCGCTGGGAGATAACGGACAACCCAAGCAGGCCAGCCAGTCCTGGACAGTCCTCCCCATGGGATGGCGGGTGCGGGCAGTGCGGGGGCATTTCACGTGGCCACTACTTGGGCATCTCAGTGCTGGCTTCGTGCGGGTGACAGACCTGCTCAGCTCTACAGCGACCGCACTGACGGCAGAAGCAAACTGAGCCAGGCGGCAGGGCGGCTTTGCTGGGCGGCGCTGGCCTAACAGTTGTGCCCAACGCCGTGGGGGGGATCAGTCCGGGCGCTGCGCTCGCCTCGATTTTCGTATTTTTTAAATCAGAGCGTTCAGCAAATTCCATGCTGTGCCACGCACCGGGGACGCAGCGAACGGGCCCTCCTACTCTCCAGGAGCTGGCGTGTGTCCAGCTTGAGAATTTAACACCTATTTTGCAAATACGCGATTACAGTTGGTCAGCGATCCAGCAAATGTGAGCACTGAAGGAAAGTAACAGTTCTGCCAAGAATCGAATCTTTCCAGGGGTCCCTGTCGCGGGTTCTCGCTGCTTTCTCCGTGCTGGGGTGCCACGTGTTTCTTGGGGTGTGAACGTAAGGGACGCATTCTGCAGGGGAGAGGGCAGCGGTGCACTGCGCGGCCGATGACATCAGTCACTTCCCTCTGCACAAAGCTAAGAGCACCTCTGATCTGCGGAACACACACACTTTGGTTGTGCATTACGTGAATACCTAGCACGGTACGTGTTCTCATTCCAGCCTCACGGAAAAGCCATCTGCAAAAAAGCCACCAAAGCACGGCTCACCCGGAGGAGAGCGCGGCGCAGCTCTCGGTGAACCCGCACGCTGAGCGGCCGCGGGGCCGCGGCGCAGGCGAATCACGACCCTGCAGCCCCGCAGATGCGCCTGGGCGGCCCGCGCTCATCACGCAACAGAGCTGCTGCGCGCGGCTGTGCAGGCGCCGGGAAGTCAGCTCTTGGAGATCCACGGCGAGACAGACGAGGCTGCCGCCCCTAAGGAGCTCACGGTCAGGGGAGAAGGCGCAACACAACCAGCCAGTGAGTGAGTGAAAGCCGTCAGCGTCTGAGGACGCCGACAGGGCAGTCACGGAGGACTCAGGGTGGAGCTGGCCGAGTTTCAGAGTGACCAGGAAGGGCCTCTACGGAGGCAAACCGAACCTGAGGAGTCTGGTTCAAGAAGACAGCCGCGCCGGGGACAGCTGAAGGCCCGGAGCAGTGGTCAGCCGGGGCGGTGCGGACGGAGCTGAAGAACCTCAGTGCCAAGCAGCTGTGGAGGGAGCTGGGCGGGGCGGGCAGCAGTGTCCTCTGACCAGTGCTAACACAGGAAAACCCCAAGCTCAGGAGGGAATCGTTCGAGCGCGTGAAGCAGGCCAACACATACTATTTGTGGTGCTTGGAAAATACTCTCGTGAAGCATTCCCTCCGCAGACAGTTCTGAGAGACGTCCACGTAGCTACCACTCAGGTACCAAAACTAACGCTGTGAAGATTCAGATCTTTGTTGTACGACGACAGAAATGAGAGCGACACAGCTTAAGCAAGCGCTGCCTTTCCTCTGCTTCAGCCCACACGCACTCAGCTCAAATCCCCTCCCCCACCGCCCCACAGTCCCAGTCTCTTCTGAAGAGCCTAAACCCCCCCCCCCAAACATCAAACCGAAACCCAGCCGGTCTCTACTGAACTTGTACCCCCGAAGCAGACGGGGACACCCGAGCGTGCTCGCTGCCGCCTCGGGATTCCCCGCGCCCCCCTCTCCCTGCACCCCTCTCTTGATGTGGTACCCTTCCTCTCTCATTTTGGATGAACATTTCCCACAACAAACTGAAAAGGGGGGTAACGGGAAATCTGGATGTATCTTATGCCTGAACTGTGGCGTTGGCCTCCCGGACACGGAGCCCACAGCTTCACGCAGGTTTAGAACTCTAGGCTGGAGACCGTTACCCCTCAATCCTGGACGGAATCCCCCACTTCCACAGAGCACCCGATGGCACTGTGAGAAGGCCAGACTATGTTTTATTGCGGTCTATTTCTCTTCTCCAGACGTTTTTAGAATTTTCTGTCTTTTCAGTGTCCATGGACATAGTGGCCACACTTGATCAGCGGCTATTTCAGTGGGGCTCTGTTTCGCCTGTGGGACGGGAGTGGCCCATCCAATGTGGCAACACAGCCGCTTCAGGCACAGGGAGTTTCTGAGTCCCCACTGGTGCTGTTCTCCTCCCCGATTTCTCCGCTCGTCATGATGTTAATTATGAGCGAGGGACTTACCAAGCCCCCAGTTCCAGACACCAACCCACCGTGTCGTCGTATCTCACTCCTGCCGTCCGCCTTGCCCTGCCCGTCCTCAACAGCCTCACGTGCAGGCCCCCACGCCTCTGCTCACGCTTTAAACGCTGTAAACCTGGAGTTCCCTCTGGCTCTTTCTCTGCCAGCAGCAGCAGTTCTCCTCTACACGAACTCAGCCAGGCTTTGCCTACCCCTCACGCCCAGCCTCCGGCTTTCTCGGTACCCGCCCGATCGCCGAGTGGGCACCTCACACTTCCTCCAGCCGGAGCAGAAGCTGAATTTCCCTCAGACCTGCACTCCTCTGGCACGCCACGCCAACGACTTCTGCTTGACTACAAGCAGGAGCTGACTTCTGCTTGACTACATTCAGGAGCTGTGCGTGATCTTGCTCCTCCACTCCCCAGTCATCAAGCACGTTCTGCAGCCCGACCTCCAAATGCCCTCAAACCCACACGCTGTCCTCTCCCCTGTACCTCCGTCCTACCACAAGCCCGGACTCCACAGCTCCCTTCTGTGTCTCTGGGATTACCTACTAACTGCTCTTCCAGATTTGACTTCTGCTGCCCCTACGGCCTGTTCTCCAGACAGAAGCCAAATGTCCTCAAAGGCAGACCTGAAGGCATTTAGCTGCCTCCTGCTCTCTCACAGCTTATCCACCATGTGTCTGAGTCTAACTTTTCACGTTCGTTAAGAGTCCTACGTCATCAGATCCCTGCCTACTCCACCTCTCCGACTACATCGCACTTGCTAGAGTAAACCAAAATCTGTAGGACATATGCATATACATTACCTAGCTGTGAAGTCAAGGTAATTTTTTAATACAAAAGAAAATTGCTAGGTATTCTATGTTTCCTTTTCAGGAAAACCCAAGGAAGAAACATATGCTGGAAACTAGTAAGACAGATTTAACTGCTAACATGCCTGGTCCAGTTCTTTAATTTTTGATTCCAATTTCTGGAATTCCGATGGCTCCCAAGAGCACAGAGGAGGAACACATGCTCTTCGGCCCGAGGTGCCCCCTCCCTGCTGACTCACCCTGTGGGCAGACACTCTTCCAGCCTCTTGTACTGGTAGCCAGAGTTCGGGTTGACCTGGCCGCCCGGTGTGCAGGCTGTCGCCTGGATCGTCAGCTGGTGGCAGGCACACTTGGACCTGCGTGAGAGAGAAGGGACGGCTAGAGCCAGAGACTTCCTTCGGGGCAGGAAGCTCTAATAAAGGGATGAGAAACGGCAGGGCCATCTGCTTCTCCTCTCGTACAATGAGAAAGGAAAACATGGGGGAAGAACATGACTGAGAATGAGGCAGAGACAGAGTGAAAGTGGCCACTGAGTGCACAGCGGAGGGAAGCAAAGGAAAAGGCCTATCAGAGAGGCACAGCAAGACACAGGCCCCGTAAGGTGGCCAGAGCAGACCTGGCCTCTCTACGCCCAGCTTTCACGGAGGTAGAGGGCAGGGCCCCAGGGGAGGGGGAGGAGGACGAAAGGCAGGCAGACGGAAGGTGGAAAGAAAGGCGACCGTAACAGTCGGATGTACAGCTAGCCGCCCGCCAACTCACTTGTCCCGGCATCCATCCTTGCAGTCACAGCCAACCAGAAACTCAGGGCCTGTGTTAATGAAAACTCCCTTGCCTGGGATTCGTTCCTTGCTATAGGCCACCTGGGGTGGGGGAGTCGTGTCAATTTCATTGACACAGGATAGGGGAACATCTTCCTTCCCACAGGTGATGTCCAAGATATAGTAAAAAGGCTTATAGGGCTGAAACTTCCGGTCCACGAGAACATAGGGATCCAAACAGAACATCTCCAGGAAAAGGAAGTCACAGCCAGTCTCAAACAGGTAGCGTTCGATCTCCTGCATTGTCCGAAGGCAGAGGCCACAAGGTGTCTTGTAGATGACGTGAAAGCCCATCTTCCGGTTAACTCGGCGCCGGGCTGTCATCCGCCGGAAGTCGTACAGTAGTGGCACCAGCAAAGGGTTTTTGCCGCGGTACTGCTCATTTCTCATTGGTCTGATCCGAGACAGACATGTGTAGCTGCAGACGTGAGGTAAGTAGAAAAGCTTTTCCATAGGGGCTCGGTAGGAGGGCTCTGATGGTGCCCTCTCCAGCATGCCGTGGAAGGCTGGGGGGGCTGGCGGGGCCGGTAGGACTGGGGGGGCCGGAGGTGCTGGGGGTGCTGTGGCTGAAGTAGTTGAGCCTACAGGTGACCTGCAAACGAGAGGCAAGATATCAGATGGGAGGCAACTGGATTTTTTATGTTACTACCCTTCCAGCTGGCCACGCCCCTTCCCGAATCTGTCAAATTGCTGTAGTCTTAAAGCTAACGATAATGCAGGAATATCAGCTCGCCCACACTCCCCGCCTTGGACAATTAAATGCCCTGGTTACTCTGCACTGACTGATGCTATCTTTTTTTAACAACGTGCTTTTTCCAAGTTAATTTTGCCTGTGAATTATGGAAAAGAATCTAGTCTTCTACTACCACTCTTTATCCTTCTACATGTCCTACAAATGCCTTCACTAAATCCCACAATTTAAAGAAAGAAGCTGCAGTATTTCTTTTCCACGATGACACCACACTCCACGGGAAGTTTTAACAAATGACGTTCTGGCAAGTTCTTACTTCTAGGTACTGGTCTCCTACTCAATTATTTCTATGTTCTGTTTTTTGGGCAAGCTTTCAAGGTCCAGTTTTTCAAGTCCAAACTCCTCACAACAATATCCACACCCACGTTCCTGGGAGCCAGGAGTCTCCCTAACATGGCCACCACCGGGTCCACCCTGCCAACCCCACAGGGCGCCTGGGGGTTCCGCACCGATATGACTGGCTGATGGCAGGTTTCCCACCAGGGGCATTTTCACTGAGCGCAGGGGACGTCGGGGAAGAGTGACCAGAGCCCACAGATCCTGGCCGGAAGGATGTGCTCTTTTTGGCTACCTGCTTCCGTGACTGGGCAAGCTGGCTTTCCAAGCTCCTAGGAGATTAAAGATCCGATAGTAAGGGATAAAGAAACACAACACAGAAAGAAACTGGTGAAAGGAAGAAACGGCACTCACTCACTGTCACCTGCCTGGGGTGACAGAGGAGGGGCAGGGGGTGTAGGCTGGGCGGCGGGGGCAGGCGGCGCTGTGGGCTGTGGGGGCTCCACTGGCTTGTACTGGGTCCCAGTACTTGTCAGATCCTGGGTATACTGGACCACAGGCCCTTTGCTCCTCACAGCGCCTACAGGAAAGAGGAAATCGAGCAGTTAAGATGCCAGCTGTATCACTTACATTCACGTGACCCTCAGTGTGTATCGCTATGTATTGGGAAAGAGAATGAAGCATTTCGAGTCAGCACTAAGACCAACCACCGCCATTATTCACACCAGGAAGTGCGAATACGGGTACACGCGGGCTTTGATTTTAACTCAGACTTTTAACTTTCTTGCCTCAGATGACTAATTATACTATACTTGGCGCAATTTTACAAAAATGGATACCTCGATCAGCTTAGCCAGCCAAGAACATCATCAGCCGGAAACTGCTAGAAACATAGAAACAAAAACAGGCGGCTTTTGAAAAAAGTGACGGGCTAACACAAAGCTGGTGGCCTCATGAGGACGAAGAGGTGGCCGCTCCGATCATTCCCACACCCTGAGCCCGCGCGTTCAGACTTTTGTGTGACTGTGTAAGAGCGTTCACGTGTGGAGTCAGCGCCTCTGCCAGCTCAGGGCCTGCGTCCTGTTGCCCAAAGTCCTGGCAGCAAAGGACAGCTGCTGCAGCTGGCGCCGTGCTGGTGGGGCGCGTCCCCGGTGCCTTCCGGGGCATACCCATATTGGGGCGCGTCCTGAGCTGTCCCCCTTGCTTCTTCTCCAGTGCAGAGGCTGAAGAGGTCTTCATGCTGAACATGGGCTCCAGCCGGGTAGAGCCTCGATAGATCCACTCACACCTCTTGTCGTCCTGGGGGAAGACGGGGGTGGGGACAGACGGGTCACAGGCCTTCACGCATCTCCTTGGGGTTGTCGCTCTGAATTCCCTACCTAGCCAAGGAGCTTGCGTACCTGGCCCGTAACCGGAGCCAGGGACATAAAGGAGGAAAACACGCACTGTTTAAGGATTCCCTGGACAGACCGACACGTACAAGAATACAAGACGTGGGGCGAGGATCACGAGGTCTCAGGAGCAAAGGGCTGAGGTAGCTCAGGGCAGAAACCATTCTGCCCAAAGCATGAGACGGGAGAAAAGGGCTGCAGAGAAGCTCCCACGGCACGACGGAGCCGTGGAACGCCGCCAAGGCCTCCGGTGCCTGGTCCCTCTTCTGTCCCATCAAAGCCCTGACCTGGACAAACACGTGCAGCGTGAACATATCCTAGAGAAGAACCAACCGTGCGGATTCAGGCCACAGTTGAGTTCAGGGGTTTTATTTTTAACATTCACTATAAAAAAAGGGAAAGCCTGATGCAGAACACTCAGGGAAGTGGGAGAAGAAAGAGTAACAGTCTGGGCAGCCACAGCTGCCCTCCCCCGCCTCTCGCGCCACCGCCCACCCGAGGGTCCCGTACCAGGAAGAGGATCCTGACGAGGCTGCCGTCCACCTCCTCGACGCGGGACTTCCACCACGTGCCTTCCCACTCGGTCTTGATGAGCTGGCCGCTCTTGAGCAGCACCATGGGCCGGTTGGGGTAGGCCGTGATGTACTCCTCTATGAAATCTCGGCAGGAGATGTCCTCGATGTCCTCCCACGTCTTTTTCACTGTCCCAAGGAAGAAGGAGGGCTGAGGGGGGCAGGCCGGGTACGTCGTACAGGGACACAGGTGCTTTCCACGTTGGAAGAGAAAAAGCAAACTACAAGTGATAAGCTTAAGGGACGCAGAGCCAAGACACCTGACGGTGCTGGCCCTGTGGGCAACGCACACACAGCACGGAAATCCCGGGCCAGCAATGCCCCAGTAAAGGGGAGCCACTCACTGCATAAAGCAGACGTTTCTCCTTGGAAAAATTCAAGTGGAAATTCTTGCTAACTTGATGCGAACTTAGAAGCAAATAAGGAAAGTAGCAACAACAGTGGTTTTGAATTTACCCTCTCTTCTCAGTGTCCGTTAGGCCTTGGGGTCCTGAATACCTTTATCACTGTTACGAACAAACTACATCAGCAGAGCCTGCAGTTGAGAATAGCTGTTTCTCGGGCCCTCCATGCTGGCACCACAGGTTAAAAAGCGGCACTATGGAGCTGTCCGCAGCCACTGCAGCCTGAGTCTGGTGCCCGGCCAGGGAGTGACCCATATGGCCAGGCAGACCTCTCTTGTCCCCCCACTGCCCCTGCAGCAGTGTTATATTTCAGTGGATCTGCCTGTTCTGCTCCCCACTCTGTCTCTGGGGAGTGCTCTCAAATCCCACACCTTTGGCCTGTACCCCAGTTCTTCATGGGTAAATAAATCTTAAAAAAAAAAAAAAAATAGCGGCTGCTCTAGGAGTCTGTCCTGAAGCCCAAGCTGCAGAGAGGCCACGGTGAGCTTTACCCACAGGCTTCTTCTGCAGCAGGCACTGTGCAGACCACGGACACAGACCAGTGCGGCATGAAATGCGGGTCCAGGACAAGCATGGGCGAAAGGCAGGTCCACACCACTTAGGAATGATGCAGAACACAGACACGGTACAGCTGCCTGGCGCCAGTCAGGATCTTCTAGTCTTCACTCTGACTACAAAGACTCAGCATTTGGATTCGGGAGGAAAAAAAAAAATGTGATCTAAAATATATTAGTCTAACGTATGCACCTTAGAACTGGAACAAGATTAGGACTTTTCAATGGACCACTGTAAGAGGAAAAATAAGGCAGAGGAGGAAGAGAAGACCTGATGAAGAAAGGAGGGACACTCACGTGGCCGGCAGATGGGGTACAGCTCAGACTGTGTGACGTAGGACGCGTAACCATCATCGAAGAAGATGAGAAACCTGCAAGGAAGGGGTGCACAGAACCGGCAGTCAGGCGCCACTGCCCACGGACCTACGGCGTGACGCAGCTGCCGGCCCGTGGGTGCAGCACCCGGCCGGGGTGCTCCTGGGGCTCACTTCTTGCTATCCTTTCTGCTGCCCGAGGGCTGAGAGTTCTCCCCTCACCTAACCAACATTCCCCGCTTTCCCAAAAGCCACTTACTCTTGTTCCACCACAAGATTCCTATTTTGCTAAAAGCCATTTAATTTTAGCTTCAATTCTTCTTTCCATATGTACTTTTTACTCCTCACCAATAATCAACCCTGATGATTTTCCCCCTACATTGCCCCTTAATTAAAAAAAAAAGGGTGCATGTGAGGAAAAATCACCCACTTGACTACCGTGGCAAAGAAAGAAGGGGCTTCTGGCCCCCAGGGATGGGGAACACAGAGGCCCGACTGGCCCAACCGGCAGGCGCTGTACCCCTCTCCACGCCCTTCACAGGCCCGCCGGTACCTGAGCTTGTTTTTGACGTTTGGGGTCTCGGCGACGATGCCGGCGTAGAGCCACACCTGACTGCCGTCTTTGTACTTGGCCACCACGCGACTGCCCACGTACAGCCTGTCGGCGGGAGGGTGGTAGTCATAGGCGATGTGGTTCCCCGACAGCAGGCTCTTTCCTTTGTTGTCGAACTTCACCTTGTACTTCTTTCCCGGCCCTGAGCGAAGGAAGGACACGCAGAAAGCCTGTCGGCTTCGATGTCAATGCTGGCCGTTAGAGCCCGCAGGAGCGCGGCCCTGGGCAAACTCAGCCGCGGGGCCCTGCAGGCTGCCATCCCTTAGTTCTCCATGTAGCCTGAACATACCAACCGTCTGTATGGCAACGAGGGTGCCTTTGTGCCACGTCTTGGTCCTCTTCTTGCCCAGAATGCGCATGCTAACTATCAGGTCGCCATCCTTGCTCAGTTCTCCAGACATCTGACTCAAGGTTCCTAAAGATGGGAGACAAACTTGGTCTAAAGAGATGTGGCGTAGACTGGGTGGAGAAAGAAAGAATAAAGGACGCAGCAGGTCGCCAGGGAAAGGGGGTGACTTCTGTTGTTCTCTTGGTCTTGGCACAGATGCCAGGAGACAGCTGACTCAATTGTTTATTGTAGGAGGAAGATTTGAATAGCTGAAGTTTACATGTAATCCAATTATATCTCACTTTAACCAAATGATTCCAGGTCTTTTTTTTTTTTTTTAAAGGTTTATTTATTTAAACTTAATACAAGAACTGGGGCGCAAGCCAGAAGTGTGGGAGGTGGGAGGATTTCCCAGACTCAGAGCAGGGAGAAGAACAGGTGGATCCACTGAAATCCGTTGTTAAGGGGAGCAGTGGGGAGACAGGAGAGGTTTGCTGAGTCCTGTAGGTCACTCCCTGGCTGAGAACTGAACTCCTGCTGCAGTGGCTGCGGACAGCTTCACAGTGCTGCGCCTTAACCCCTGGGGCCACCAGGGAGGCCCTTAGTTCATTATTAACATTATCTACTACATGGTAAATTCTAAATAGTATTTGTAAAACACTTGTAGAGCATCCATTAATAGCACAATTCTACAAACAAAGCCTCCCTCAGGCCTTTTTATGAGTCTAAATTACTCTGTTCTTCCTGATTTCCAACTGGAGAAAGTATTCATGAGTTTGGAACAAAAAAGTAAAAAGATATTTGTACTAGTGTAACTGGGCTACTGAGGACAGGAGCCTATCATCACAACGAGCAGACAAAAAGACTCAAGCAGACAACAAAGAAAACAAAATCATAAAGCTTGCACATGTACAGCCAGTGGTGCTGAAATACTCCGTCAGCAGCGGAGAAAGGCTGCTGAGACGCCGAGCCAGTCAGTGACCGAGAAAGCTCTGTGGGAATCCGCCTCCTCCCGCCCCTGGCACTTCCTACCCAACCTTTATGCAGGTCCTGGGAGCTGCTTTTCTTGTTGACCGCATCCATGAACTTCTGGACATCCTGGGCGGACTTTCTTAAGGCGGCCATAGCTTCACGGAGCTGTTGTACAGAGGAGGAGGGGAACAGTTCTAAGACAGGAGCATGGGTTAGAAATAACTTAAGAGTAAGAAAAACATCTGGCCTTAAAAATCAAGATGGAATGAACAATGCTGGAAAGCTTACGGTTATGCTTTATGAGGCAAAACAACCCTTTTTTTACAAATCTGGTTCAGAAATTAGCCTTAGGGGGCTTTTCTTGATTAGCAACAGGAGCTGATTGGTGCGAAGGCCCACGCTCACACAGCCTTCAGCACAGCAGCTAAGCGGCCTCTCAGGGCCTGCAGTCTAGAGGGCTGGTGACAGGAGAGGACGACATATCGGTGGCTGAGCCCACTGGTCAGGCCAACGGCTTCTGCCATTTTCATGTTGCTACCTGTCGCCACTCCCTTGCCCAGGCCAGCTCACCTTCTGGTCTTTCGGTGTTCTACTCCCAGCATCACCTAGGAATGAGAAAAACGCTAATTGAGTTCAAAAGACTCTCCATGTAGGTATTTCTAAGATCTCAAGGCCCATGTTACCTAAAAGCACTAACACAAGCATTTGAAAACTAGACCTAAGATACACATACACATGTAAAAGCACCAAAAGGCTCTAGAAAGATACGCAGCAGCCAGGGGCAACACGTATCTGGAGGGTGGGCTGGCAGTCTTAACGGATTTGGGATTTCCATCGTGTGCCTGTGCTTTATGATGATAATTTACTTATAGATGGAGTGATCAAGAATTGAGATGTAATCAATGAATTAAGTAGCAATGTTATTCCTGAGAAGGGCTGTCCAACAGACCTTGCTGAGATAGCAGGAAAATTCTGAGTCTACCTATCTGTTGACATTTGGCTATTTAAGCACATGAAATGCGATGAGTATACCTGCTGAGTTTTAAATTTCATTAAATATAAAAAAACTCAGATATAATTTACAAACCATAAAATTTACCTTTCAAAATATTTAGTTTAATAATTTTTGTACATTTACAAGGTCATACAACCACCACCACCAGAACATTTTCATCACTCCTCCAAATAAGAAACCTCATTAATGGATATGGAATTTCTTTTTGGGAGCTGAAAAGACCCATCAGCTCCCCATTCCGCCCCCCCCCCCAGCCTTGGTCACCACTGACTGTTTCTGTCTACTTGCCTGTTCTGATCATCTCGTGTAACTGGAGTCATGCCGCATGTGGCTCACCATAGAAGCCATGTTTATCAGTGTACCTCAATATTCCTGGGGGCTCAATAAGACCCCATTATATGGCTTTATCACATTTTATCAGCTCATTCATCAGCTGATGCAAATTTGGATTATTTTCACTTTTTGTCTACTGGGAATAATGCTGGTAAGAACCTTGGCATACAGCCCTTATGGGGTACATGTTCAAGTTTCCCATGAGTTCAAGGCAGGAGTGGGGCTGATGGGCTATACGGTAATGGTGTGTGATCTTTTGAGAAACTAAGGGACCTGCCAAAAGCGCTGTGCCATTCTACATTCCCACAAACTCTTCAGAGTTCCAATTTCTCCTCATCCTTATCAACACTTGCTGTTCACAGCCATCTGAATACTAAAAGTGGCCATCTAAGTATCTTCTTTAAAGAAACAGCTATTCAAATCCTTTGCCTATTTTTTTAATTGGGTTGTTTTTTGATTTGTGAGTTACAAGGGCTTTTTACATATTCTGGAAAACAATGAACACTTAACATTTCCATAATTTTAACAAGTACACAATGACTACTGAATTGGAGAATGCTAATTTAGAGATTTTCAACATACCTCTACAAATGGAAGGCAACGTTAGTGATCGTTTTATAATAAATCTTTCTGTTGTACACCTTAAACTTAGATAATGTTCTATATCAATTATATCCCAATAAAACTGAGTTAAGAAAGAGGCAAAAAAGAGAAAAGTTATGTGTCTTAAAATAACAAAATGGGGCCTTCCTGGTGGCCTAGGGGTTGAGCCTCACACTCCGCCACCACGGCCTGAGCCTGCCCCCACCAGGCAGGGACCCACACAGTGTGATGCGGCTGACTCTCCTGTCTCCCTGCTGCTCCTCTCAGCAGTGGATTTCAGTGAATCTGCCTGTTCTGCTCCCCACTTGATCTCTACCTCTCACCCCCTGTAGTATCTTGGGCCTATACCACAGTTCTACGCAAAAATAAATAAAGTTAGAAAGAAAAAAAAAGCTTAAATTATAACAAATACAAATGTGATTAATAATCTTTAATAACATAAAGCAAAGTTAGTGAAATATTAAGGAACTGAAATTGATCATTTTTTCTTACCACAAAGGATTGAATTGGAAATCAATTACAAGAGGAAAATTTGCAAATGTGTGAAATTAACACGCTACTGAGAAACCAATGGATTAATAAAAATAAAAAAAACTGCTTGAGAAATATGAAAATGGAAAATGTTTACTAAAACTTATGGAATGATACAGCAAAAGGAGTTTTAAGAAGGACTTTCATAGTAGTAAAAGTCTATCTAAAGAAAAAAAAGCCTGATTTTATACTTCAAGAAACTAGAAAAAGAATAAAATCCAAGGTTAAGAGATGGGAAGAAATACAAGGATCAGAGCAAAAACCGATGACGTGGAAACTAAAAACACAACACAAAAGATCTATGAAAGAAAAAACTAGTTCTCTGAAAATATAAAAACAATTGATAAATCTTTTTTTAGCTGCACTCGAGAGAAAAAGAGTGCAAATAAATAAAACCAGAAACGAAAGAGCCACTGAATCTATATTACAGAAATACAAAGGATCATCTTGATTGCAAGGAACAATTTTGCATCACCAAATCTGACTACGTAGAAGAAATAAATTCTTAGAAATATACAGGTTACAAACATTGAATCGTGAAGAAATAGAAAATCTTGAAGGTGGATTACTAGAAACAAGACTGAGTTAAAATGTCTAGAACTAAGTTGGCTTCACTGGTGAATTCTACCAAACATTTAAAGAATAATTAACAAATCCTTCTCAAACTTCCAAAACAGAAGAGGAGAAAATGTTTCCAAACTTGTTTTATGAGGGCATCAATACCTTGATACCAAAGCCAATTTTCTTAAGAAAATTACAGGCCAATATTTCTGATGAACACACATGCGAAATCCTCAACAAAATACCAGCAAGCTGAATTCAACAACACATTAGAAGGATCCCACACAGGGCCCTCCCTGATGGTGCAGTGGGTTAAAGCACAGCACTATGAAGCTGTTAGAAGCCACTGCAGCATGAGTTCAATTCCCAGCCAGGGAGCTGACCCACAGGGTGTGGCAGGCCTCTCCTGACCCGCCTGCTGCTCCCCTCAGCAGTATGTTGTAATGGATCTGCCTGTTCTGCTCCCCGCTCTGTCTCTGGTGAACCCTCTCACTCAGCACCTCTGGCCTGTACCCAGTCCTTGTAAGCATAAATAAATCTTAAAAAACAAAAACAAAAACTCATACAACGACTAAGTGGGGATGCAAGGATAGTGCAATCTATGTAAATCAACAAATGTAATATATCACATTAAAAAGGATAAAAAAACCGCTGTCTCAATAAATGTAAAGAAGTATTACATAAACTTCCGCCATGTACTGAGTTAAAAGCTCTTAGCAAGCAGGCACAGAGGGAATGTGCCACCTCATAATAAAGGCAGTATCAGACAAGTACACAGCTGAACATTTTCTTGGTTCTAATTACTCTTGTATGTTAGAGAAAAGTTTACAGCCAAGATTTAGGAAATGACAGGAGGCTCTTTTATTTGCAATGTTGTATCAATAAAAAAAAGTATTTAAAATTTTTTTTACATGTCTCTCAGCTCCACGTGTCTCCTCTAAGTCATGTTGACTTTCTGTTCAGGTGACACTTGGCTACCCGACCAGGCACTGCCACCGAAACCACCCGCAGGTGCCGTCAGAAGCCGCTGTCCAGCCTGCCGCGTCATCCTTAGCCTTCGACCACTCCCTCCCCACTCTGCAAGCTTCAGTTCTGCAAGAGCTTTCAGAGTCACTGTTAAAGCTTGTCTCCATGTGCCTCTTACTTCAGTCATTCCACATATCAGTTACACCATCTGGTATTTCTCTTTTTCTTTGTGGCTTATTTCACTCAACACAATCCCAGTTTCATCTGCATTGCTGCAAATAGCATGCGTTTACTTATTTATTTTTTGATTGCTGAGTAATAATCCATGTGTATATATACCACACCTTAGCCTACCCATCTGTTTTGGGGCAGGTGGTTTCTAGAATTTGGTTATAGTAAACAGTGCTATAATAAACACGGGAGTGCACATTTCTTTTCAACTTAGTGTTTCTGAATTTCTGGGATAGATGCCTGTGAGTGGAATTACTGGGTTGTGAGAAGATCCAGTTTTTAATGCTTGGCCTCGGGTTGGACTAGTCTGCATTCCCACCAAAGCGTAGGAGGGTCCCCTTTTTCCAGGAGGGGGGTCCCCTTTTTCCACATACTTGCCAGCACTTGTTTTTCTGGTCTTTTCCATACAGACTATTCTCCCAGGTGAGGGATGGTATTTCATTCTGGTCTTGCTTTCCCTGAGTGATGATAAGTGATGATGAACAGTTTTCCATGTGCCTGCACAGACTGGTATCTCCTTTGGGAACTGTCTGTTTAGTTATTCTGCCAAATTTCTGACTGGATTGTTGTCTTTCTGTTGAGTTATATGATTAGGTTCCTTGCAGAGCTTTGGTACCAGTCCCTTGTCAGATGTATGGTGTATAGGTATTTTCTCCCATTTTTTAAGGCGTCTTTATATTTTATTTTAGTGACAGTTTTGCTGAGCAGAAGCTTTTTAGTTTGATACAGCCCCAGTTGTTTATGTTCTCTTTTGTTTTCCTTGCTGTTGGGGAAGGGAGGGGGAGTGGAGAGGGAGAAGCTAAAGCCCCTTTCGCATGAGTTCGATCCCCGCCTGCCCAGGAGATGACCCACAGGGCATGGCAGACCTCTTCTGACCCGCCCGCTGCTCCCCTCAGCAGTGGACTTCATCAGTCAGATCTGTTCTGCTCCCCACTCTGTCTCTGGTGAGTCCTCTCACTGCCCCTGCACCTCAAGCCTGTACCCCAGTTCTGTATGCACAAATAAATAAATCTTACAAAAAAAAAAAAAAAGGCAATGGTTCCTAAGTTGATCTTTAGGGTCAATATATTTTCTATTAGGCCCTCCCTGGTGGCGCAGCGGGTTAAAGCACAGCACTGAGAATCTGAAGCCGCTTCCGCATGAGTTCGATTCCCGCCTGCCGCCTGCCCCGGAGGAGACCACATGGCGAGCCAGACCTCTCCTGGCCCGCCCGCTGCTTCCCTCAGCAGTGTACTTCGTAGATCTGCCTGTTCTGCTCCCCACTCTGTCTCTGGTGAAGCCTCTCACTGCCCCTGAGCCTCTGGACTGTACCCCAGTTCTGTATACACAAATAAATCTTTGAAAAAAAAAAAAAGCCTAGCAGTTCATGGGTGTCGCATAGTAACATAAATTTGAAGAAGTGCGAGCATATATCCCTAAAACACATATAGTAATGTAAACCAACATTAACAGTAAAAAATTTAAGGGCCCTCCCTGCTGGCGCAATGGGTTAAAGTGCCGCACTATGAAGAGAGCCACAGCCACTGCAACATGAGTTCGATCCCGGCCAGGGAACTAACCTACATGATGAAGCAGACCTCTCCTGATCCACCTGCTGCTCCCCTCAGCCGAATACTTCAGTCCATCTGCCTGTTCTGCTCCCCACTCTGTCTCTGGTGAACCTTTGCCCCCACCACGTTTGGCCTGTACCCCAGTTCTTGTATGCAAAAATAAATTTTAAAAATAAATAAACAATTTTAAAACAAACCCATTAAAAATATTTAAAAATCTTATGGGGTTATAAACATTTTTTCATAGAAATTAACAAGTTGACCCTAAAGCTTACTCGGAATATATGTGAGATACAAATAAATTTGAAGGACTATTATTTAGTGATTTTAATAGTTACTATAAAGCTATAGTAGTTTAGTGGGTAATGTTGGCATACTGACATTTACATCAATATGACAGACCAGAATCCCAATACAGACCCTCATATAAATAGTAAGCTGATTTCTGACAAACAGCGGTGGAACAACTAGATAGCCATGAACAAAGAAACAAACCGCCTTCAACCCTTGCCTTAGGAATTTTTACTCTTGGGCCCTCCCTGGTGATGCAATGGGTTAAAGCACAGCATATAAAGCTACCGCAGCCACTGCAGCGCCCCAGGGCACAGCAGACCTCTCCTGACCCACCCACAGTTCTCCTCAACAGTGTATTTCAGTCCATCTGTCAGTCATCTGTCCTGCTCCCCACTCTGAATGATGAATACCATTATGAAAATCAGAAGACCACATACAGAAAATGTTCATATATCTGATAAATTGTACCTAGAGTCAGCAACAAAGACAACCCAATTTAAAAAAAAGCAAAAGAGAGCCCTTCCTGGTGGCCCACATGGCATGGTAGACCTCTCTTGTCTCCCCGCTGCTCCCCTCAGCTGTGTATTTAAGTCGCTCTGCCTGTTCTGCTCCTCACTGTCTCTGGAGAATCCTCTCACCCCCTGCACCTCTGGCCTGCACCTCAATCTGCATGCATGCATAAATAAAAATCTTTAAAAAAAGAAAAGGCAAAAGATCTGAATAGGTGTTTTCCCAAAGAATATACTTAAGTGGCTAATAAGCATGTGCCAAGATGCTTAATGTCCAGAGGGAAATGCAAACCAGTGACAATGTGATCCCACTACACACCCACTAATATGACTAGGACAAATGGCTGAGCATACCGGCTACAGGCGAGGTACACGGAAACCGGGCTCTTCGAGCCCTTATGTGGCTAGTGGAGTGTAAAACGGTAGAGCCATTCTGGAAAACAGTATGGCAGTTTCTTAAAAACTCACAGTAAGACCTATGCAATTCCTTTCCAGGGTGGAATATCCAAGAAGAGACATGAAACTTGACACCCACACACAGGCTTACATGCAAATGTTCACAGCAGGGTAATCCGTAACAGCCCAAAGTAGAAACCACTCAAACCCAAATGTTCAACAATGGAATATTATTCAGCAAAAAGGAACTACTGAAACATGCAACAACCTGGATAAATTCTCAACGAGACTGACAGAAGTCAGACACTAAAGATCACGAACGATTCTACGTATGTGAAATTTCTAAAATGGCAAAATAACAGCAAGAAGCGGGGAGTGGCTACCGCGGAGCCGGGCTGCACCCATGGCGATTGCACAAGCTGATGACATCCAGGCCAGCCTCCAGAAAGTGAACTTTATATCAAATACAAAACTGGGTAAGCAGACAAAGACAACCTACTGCTGTCAGGCACTTTCGCACAGGTGTTACTGCCACCCGTAAAGGAAAGCCAGGAAATCCAGGATGGCGCTCACACAGACTGGGAAAGGAAGGGGCTTTCCAGGACGCCTCTGGTACGAACCACATTCTAAGTGTTTCTGTAACAGCCAAGTTCCACAATTTGAAGTATGGAGTCAGTGATGACGGTTTCTCCCGGCTTCCTGGGTCTTCCATCTGCTAATCTTCTAGTGTCTCAGTTTCAATGCTGCCTTGCCTGTTCCTAGTCTCATCTCTTACCTGAATCAATACTGAGGACATCGTCATCTTCATCAGGAATCTCAATTATTTCTGTAGGCCGGGAAGCTTCATCTTCAGAGCTACTGTCACGGTACTGTAGTCCGAGTTTGGAGTAGAAGTCCTTCACCAAAGACTCACAATTAGTCACTGCCCTAATATTGGAACACATGTAGAAAAGGTCAAAGCCAGCAGAGGGAGAAGGTATTTAAGTATACACTGAACTGAAACAGGGCATATTCCCAGGTCTATTTAGATAAAATCTAGCATGCTTTTTGCATAGAATATTGTTTAATTACTGATTTACACAATAGTTCCCCCCAAATCCAAAATAAGCCTAAAGTAAAGTACTTTCACCCCTACTTCATTATTTACCCTGCTATCTGAAAATGTGTTCAAATAGCAGTGACACCAGGGCACAATTAACAAATCTCCCGGGGGCAGGGGAGGGTGCTAGCAGGCGGAGGGCTGTAGGAACTTTTTTTTCAAGATTTATTTATTTACGCATACAGCACTGGGGTCAGAGGTGCAGGGGTGGTGAGGATTTCCCAGAGACGGAGTGGGGAGCAGAACAGGCGGACTGACCAAGTACACTGCTGAGGGGAGACAGGAGAGGTCTGCCGGCCAGGGCTGGGGATCGAACTCTCACTTGTGTGGCCGCAGCCAGCTTGCAGGGCTGCGCTAATTTAAAAAGTTGCACCACCAGGGAGGGCCTTGTAGGAAACTTTCACTTGTCAGTTGCACTAATTTAAAAAGTTGCACCCCAGGGAGGGCCTTGTAGGAACCTTTCACTCGTCAGTTACAGAAGTTAGTAACCCTTTATAATCTTCACTCCCTAGGGGATCTTACTGGGAAAGAAAGCCAGTGTTCTGCAGCGCAGAGGGAAGGAGACCGCACTCCAGACCTATGGATCGTGTATCAGCCTGACAGAAAAATATTCTGAGTGGGTGGCTGTGGGGTCGGATTTTGAGCAGAGCCAAGTCCTACACATCTGTACCTTGTCAAGTATAAAGCTCAGCGCATGTCCCCAATATCATACTCTGCGCGGAGGGACCGCCTCAGTACCCGGATGGCTCACCTGGACGCATCGTCGAAGAGCTGGTCAACGTGGGCCACCTCGGACTCCTTCTGTATCACCCATGTCTCCAACTCTGCTAGCTGCTTCTTGCGCTGCTGGACACAGTCCATCTTCTCCAGTTCTTCATCGATGAACTGCCGGAGCTCCTCCATGGAGATACCCAGCTCCTCCACGACAGCTTGCTGAAGCTCGGCGATCTCCTCGGACTCCACGGCAGCCGCAGCATCCAAACCGATACACCCCGGGAGGGAGGACATGCTGCCGCCCTCTGCGGGGCAGAGCACACAGACGTCACCGGGGCTCCGGATCAAACTCCTCCGCACCCCGCCACTAGCGCCACGGGGCTCCTGAGCAAACTCCGCACCCCGCCACCGTGCCCACAGTGAACCGGTCGCGTCGGCTCCCGAGCCCGAGATCTGGTGAGCGCCTACACTTTCGGGAGTTCGCGGCACGAGAGCGTGGGCCACGCGGCAGCGCCGGCCCCTGGAGAGGGTCCCCGGGGCCCAGCGCGCGCCCGCCGGGCTGACACGCCTGCGCCCCCCACCTCGTCAGTCTAGTTCTCCGCGCCCCTCCCCTGGCTCCAGGTGTACGCTCACCTGCAAGGCCGGACACTGAAGGGCACGGAAGCTGCGCAGAGCGGCGCCCCCCGCACCTCCTGCCCGCGGCCGCGCGCGGCGCCGGGCCAAGGCTGAAGCCACCCGCGGGACGGCGCGCGGCCGCGGCCAGCGCCCACCCCGCCGCTCATTTTCGGGGTGCGTCCACCCCCTCGCAGCCAAGCTCAACCCCGCCCCCGCTCGCGGCCCGCGAAGACTCCTCGCCCACCCGGGCCCGACGCCTCCCACAACAAAACATCCCGGAAAGCCGGACCCGAATACCTCAGTCCACAGCCAGCTCCCGCCTCCCGCTTCCGGCCACAACAGCGCCGAGCCACCGGCAGCCCCCAGAGTCACTCCGCGCGGGGTCGGCTCCGAGGGGGAGAACGAAACCCGAGGGGAAAGGGAGCGGGGGAGGGAAGGAGCGTGAGGGAGGGGAGGGGAAGACGCCCGGAAGCACACCTCAGGTGCCGTTCCGGTCCCCCACGACGGTAGCCCGCCGGGGTCAAATCCAAAGCCCACAGCGCCCCTCAGAGGCGAAGCAGGGAAACGCGGGCGACGACGCATGCGCACGGCCGTCCACCGCGCACGTGAGAGCGAGCGCTGGCGGGGGGGCGGGGCCTGGGCGTCCGGAAGCCCCGCCCCCGCGGTGCCTGCTCTTAGGCCTGCGCGAAGGCTCAGTCTACACACCTCTTGAGTGCAGATGGTTTTCTGCCTTTCACCTGAGGGTGTTTTATTACATACATTGTGCACATTTTGACAGTTAAGGACATCAAAGTGCAGCCTCTCTGCTCTTGCCACTTACCCTCGCCTCCCCGCTTCTTCGGAGGTAAAACAGCATAGTTTTCTAGGCTTGTATGCACAAGGTCATGCCTGAGTTTTCTGGTTTTGTTTTTTTTTAAGATTTATTTATTTATTCGTACAGAACTGGGGTACAGGCCAGAGATGCGGAAGGCGAGAGGCTTCACCAGAGACAGAGTGGGGAGCAGAACAGGCTGATGGACGAAGTTCACTGCTGAGGGGAGGAGCTGCTGTGCCATGTGGGTCACCTCCGGGGCCTGGGATTGAACTCGTGCTGAAGCGGCTGCGGCCGGCTTCCAGTGCTGCGTCCTTACCCGTTATGCCACCAGGGAGGGCCTTTTTTTGTTCTTTTAATACGTGGGCCTACCATTGCCATTGAGTTACTAAAAGGGGTGAAACTCATCTTTTGACAGGTGCATACTACTCCACCGTATGACTAAACCGTGTAGGCATAACGAGTTTTATTGCACTTTGCAGATACTGCATTTGGTAGAGATTGAAGATTGCTGGCAACCTTGTGTTGGCAAGTCTATTTTAGACATTTTCCCACAACTTGGGCTCACTTCAGGTCTCTGCACATTTTTTAGCAGTAGTTTTAAATCATGGTATGTACATTGTTGCTGTTTGAGGCATAATGCGTGCTGTCACTCAGTAGACTGTGTGTGGACATAACTTTTGCACACACTGAGAAAGCAAGCAAGCCATGACTTGCTTTATTGCTAGCTTTGTATTATTGACATGACCTTGAATTGAACTCACAGCATCTCTGAGGTGTACCTGTACTTAGACATGTGGGTTGCTTTCAATTTTTAGCCAACAAAGCAACAAGAAACAGCACCCTCTTGAAGTGGTACTATTTTTGTGTGTGTGTGTGTGTGTGTGTGTGTGTGTGTGGAAGAAATTCTCCCAAACAGAATCTAAATTTTTTAAATATTTACTTTTTTACTTTAATAGTTTTCTGTCAAATTTCTTTTCAACAACATTTTTACTCCCACTAGCAAGTATCTGAACTGTTGGCCCAGTGTCTGCAGAACTGGATGTTAACTCCCTAATGAAAAAAAAATGGTATGTGTTAAATAGTATCTACCAGGATAATCCAGTGGATGCTTTGTGAAGAAACAATGCCGAAAATTTAAAAGAAAATACTCCGGCTCTCTTGCTCACGCTGCGTAATCCTCCCTAGGAGGATGAGGGACAGCAGAGCCCTTGCTCCGGAAGGGGCAAACGGGGCTCTTGGCCTCCAGGGCCAGTTAAAGCGACTCAGGACCCTTCACCGGCAGCTCCCTGCTTGGAAACCGCCCTGGCCTGCCCCCCGCGAGGGGCAGAAGTACAGTCCTGTCTGGGAAAGGAGGCAGAACAGGGTGTCTTTGATGAATCAGCAGTATTGACTCCCTCCTACCTCATTGCTCTGAGTCGTTTCCCTGTCTTTAAGCTCTAGCCCCATGAAAGGCCCTCCCTGGTGGCGCAAGGGGTTCAGCGCAACACCCTGAAGCTGTCCCCAGCCACTGCTGCACGAGTTCGATCCCAGCCAACGAGTGACCCACATGGTGTGGCAGACCTCTCTCCTCAGCAGCGTCTTCAGTCAGTCTGCCTGTTCTGCTCCCCACTCTGTCTTTGGTGGGCCCTCTCCCCACCTCAGCCTGTACCCCAGTTCATGTATGCATTAAAAAAAAAAAGTGTGGGGGCCCTCCCTGGTGGCGCAGCGGGTTAAAGCACAGCACAGAGAATCTAAAGCCGCTTCCGCATGAGTTCGATTCCCGCCTGCCCCGGAGGTGACCACATGGCGTGGCAGACCTCTCCTGACCCGCCCACTGCTCCCCTCAGCAGTGTACTTCGTCAATCTGCCTGTTCTGCTCCCCACTCTCTCTGGTGAAGCCTCTCGCAGTCCCTGAGCCTCTGGCCTGTACCCCAGTTCTGTATGAATAAATAAATCTTTAAAAAAAAAAAAAGTGTCGGCCCTCCCTGGTGGCGCAGCGGGTTAAAGCACAGCACAGAGAATCTAAAGCCGCTTCCGCATGAGTTCGATTCCCGCCTGCCCCGGAGGTGACCACATGGCGTGGCAGACCTCTCCTGACCCGCCCACTGCTCCCCTCAGCAGTGTACTTCGTTGATCTGCCTGTTCTGTTCCCCACTCTGTCTCTGGTGAAGCCTCTCACCGCCCCTGAGCCTCTGGCCTGTACCCCAGTTCTGTATATGCACAAATAAATAAATCTTTAAAAAAAAAAAAAAAAGTGTGACCCAGAATCTTCTATGTAGGTCAGGAAACAGGGCCAGAGCAGCCAGAATTGTCTGAGACCTGGTACCTGCCAGTGGCATTTACCTCGTTCCCCCGCCCACCACTTTCTGGAACCGCCCTAAGTGTCTGTTTGGGGAATTGAGGTGCAGACTCTTCCAGACTCATCTCTTTATGGTGTTGTCTTCTAACCCGAGCTTGAAATTTTAGACATACTGCTCCCTAGAAAATACGCATGAACGTGAAAACACGTGTGAGCGTGCACACATGACTACTGTTTACCACATATCAGCACTGGCCTTAGCACTTTACCGCTAGTACCTTGTTTAACCCTCACACTAATCCTATAAGGTAGCAACTGTTGTTATTACTTCTCTTTTATGGGCAAACAAAAACCAAAAAAACACCTCAGGCATCAAATTAAAAAAATTTCCCAAAAGTCACAGAGCCAGGGGGTTAGCCCACAGCTGTGGGGTCCATCGGTGTCCCACCTCGTTTGAGGACGTGCCTCCCTTGTCTTCTGATTCTACCGCCTTCGTCTAGCTCTTATTTCTTGCCGGGACATAACTGGATCTAATGGCTGGAAGGTCAGCCCTGCATGGAGCTCTGCGATAGTTTTGACGCTGTCACTGTCTTGCTTTAACACTGTGTTTTCTTTACATCTTTAAGGTGCAAGCTCGACAGTATACAAGGTGATGCTCTTACTTGGGCCCAGCTTCCCTCTCTGGCTGTTTCCACTCCTCTGCTCGGGTTTTCTGTTCCTCCTCCAACATACTTATACCTGTCACTTCTACATCTCTTGCCTTGGGCCAGTGAAAGGTGACATCAGCGAAGCCAGGGAAGTCCACCCCAGAAAAAAGTAGCTCCCCTGTCCGCTTTAAAGTGGATCTTACCCTTGGACTGGGCCAGACTACAGCATTCCGAGGAGTCAGCAAGACCGAGATGGTTCTGTCTGAGAGGCCTCCTAAAGAGAACTTTCACCAACTCTGATCATTTTGGCTCGTGACGCTCCACTTGTAACCCATTTGATTGAACATTACCTCAGCCGTCTTCTTCCCTCTGTAAGACCCCCTTGCCCCCCGTGTCCCCCACGACCTCCCTGGGACATGTGGGTTTCTAACCTGGACCATGCTCCCCAACTTGCAATTTTCTGCTATTCCTAAATAAACTCTCTTGGCTTACCACTAACCTTGCTGTTTAAAATTCAGCATTTTGTTGTGACCTCTGTCCTCAGTGCCCCTTCCCTTTCTGTCTGGTAAAACATTAATTCTTGCTGTCCAACTCAGATGCTTTCTCTGTGTGGATGGTGCAGGTGTCAAAGTTTAGCGTCACCTTGAGGACTCTAAAACACAGGTCATGGCCCCACTCCAGCCCTTGAGTAAGCCCGAGAGTCGGCACGTCTAACATTGTCCTGGTAACGTCCACACTACTGGCGCTGGGCCCAACTCCAAGATGGCTCCCCCAGAGCACCCACCACACCCCACCGCCGCGGAATTAACTTCTGCCTCTGCGCCTGTTACCTTGGTTCCATTCCGATCGAGTGGGCCGGACACCTTGCTCCTCTGCCCTCACCTCCTTTGTCTCAGCTCCAGGCAGAGGCACGTGTGAGGGGAAATCACTGCCAAGCCCTGGGGGTGTTTCCAGGGGACTCTCTCAGCTTTCTGAGTGTGGGGTGGGGTGAGCCGAGATGAGCCTGAGGGATGCTGAAGGGAAGCAGGAGCAAGCGGGTGCTCCCTGGCCGTACCCTGTTCCAGTCCAGTGTCTTCATTGCCCGGAGAAGGCTGACGTGATTCCTGTAGCAACTGGCAGCCAGACCAAGAAATGTCTTGGAGGCTTTGCTCCTCAATAAGCAGAGAACTTGTCAAGAATTCAAAATATCTGGCCCCACCCAAGAGGTACCTAATCAGAAACTGAAGTTTAGTAAAACTTCCAGGTAATTTGGTTGCTGAAATGTGAGAAATAGGCTAGGGAAGGCAGGCATAGACGTATAATCCTTTCTAGAGTCAGATGTCAATATTTAGACAGCCTCAAGAAAAAATAATCGAGTAATCATCAAATAAAATAAAAATGAGAAGAACAACTGCCAAAAAAATACAATGTCCTACTGCTAAATTTTAACCAGTCACACTATAGTGCAACTTCTGCTGCTCTGGAGAAATTCATCACTGGGCACTATAAAAATGAACAAAATCAATTAGTTAATCTTTCCATATGTCAGAAAACGATTAATTTGTTTAATCGAACTAAATTTTGCAAGATGTATAAAATACAAAACAAAGATTAAAATTAGGAATAAGTCTTTAAAAACATATTTAAGAATCCAAATTCTGGCTTTCACCCTTTTTTTGTAAGGTTTGTTTGTTTATGCACACAAGAACTGGGGTGCAGGCCAGAGGTGCTGGGGTCAGAGGATTCCCCAGAGACAGA